CATTTTCTTATTATTACTGACAACATGAAAAAAGGTACCTATAAAACATTTTTGCTTTATTTTATTAAATCCACGAGTAATTATCAATATTTTAGTAGAAAATGAAGCCTTAGATATTATCTTTCATTGGTAAAAAAATGAGTACATTTGCTCGAGAATTTGGACTTCTAGAGCTTTAACAAGTACCTGATGATGAGCAATGTGCCATTTCCTTCTAATACAATGTTTGCTTATGAAACTTTCAGGAAATAATGGGCAACTGTTAAGAAACATCTCCTGAAAATTTCACATGGATCCATTAAGCTTTCACTGAATTGTGAATTTCGCAATGCCATTACATGGTTTTCGTGTACATCAATGATTACAGTAAAATGGTCACAACTCTACTATGATTCGATGAACTTCACTCAAAATTTATACTGTAGATAGCTAGAGTAGAGCGCTACACAATGAGATGTTGATCGACTCAAAAGATCTTTCCTTTCTCGAATTATGGGTTTCACAAGGGACATGACTACTACCTATTATAACTCCTTTCTAACTCGAGCAATTATGACAGGACTGGTGCCTAGGATCAGCATTCATCATAGAGTATATACATACAAAATTTCAGTTGTCTAGCTCTTATTATGAGTGAAGTTCAGGGGGTGAGGGACTTTTGACCAGCACTGTATTTCAGGATTTAGTTGTTTCTTCAGGAAAAAACAGCGAATCCTGACATTATCCTGATAATATTTGTCAAGGATCTGGCGTTGAAACATCAAAGATTTTCCCTAGGGCATAGCCATTTTAATAAAATGTTCGTCAAATAGATCATAAAAAACTTAAGAAAAAAAAATCGTTTATTTAAATGTTAACTTACTTTGTTTGTCGAGCATGTCAACGGTAATATGTTGATTGTAGAAATGAGCGAAGGAGCACGTGCAAGCGATTTATATAGACATATAAGAAACAAAGGATAACTATCTATTTTTCAACTCTGGCAGGAGTCTTTTTTATCGCTCTATAATTGATAGAAAGTTTCTTGACTGAACTTCAAGACGAAAAAGAATCCTATCTGATACTCCAAGGAAAAAAAGAATCTGGAAAGAACAGAGGCAAGAATATCGCCTTGTGAAGGCAAGAACTTTTGTCCACTACTGTATATATTCGTTAGAAATATCATTTTTTATGTAATACAGATATAGATGTTATCCCTTTAGTCTAGTTTTGCTGAGCCCTTTAGAGTATAGAAGAGATTTCCTAAACCCTTTTTGGGTATATGAAGTATCTCCTAACCATTTTGGAATTTATGTATAGCTTCTAAACCCTTTCCTAAACCCTTTTATAAGGGCTTATGAAAGGGTTTATGAATATTTTCAGATGCGGTAAAAAAGGATTTATAATACGTTGCACTGTCATAAACTCTTAAAGGATTTGTTATTCTACACTCTTTTTTACAGTGTGTCACGGTCTGTGAGGCGAGAGAGGTGTTCAGTTTTCTCGCTATAAAATTCAATACTCATTAACAATCGTGTTTCACAAAAATAATGAAGAATGACTCAAAACTCACAAGAGTATCCACATTCGGACTCCATTTATGTTTACAAGGATGAATTCTAACAGCGAAAACTTTCAAATAATGAGATACTTGTTCGAAGAAAGGATATCATTTAAAAATAAATAAATAAATTTATTCTATGAAGTTGAAAATCATCCGACTATTTAATATTAATCAAAAAGAAAAAAATCAATATCGCTTATATAACAAATTAGCGTCTACGGGTTCTATAAATGATTTAAAACCATGTCCAGAACATCCACTCACTAAGAAAACATTTGGTTGATCAGGTACATGATCAATGATAAAATCAGCATTGGGTGTATTCGTATAGATACACGTTTGACTATGTGTTACATTTTTGCCCAAATTCAGAAAACGTTTTTCTGCATATTGTCGCATTTGATCGATATGGACATCGTCAACTGGTGGTCGATGAGCATCTAAATCGGTTATAGTTTCACCTAAATTATCTGAAGCTAATTTGATTCCGTCTATTTGACCATCACTTGGAAAACCATAATAATTCGCATCAGAATCTATCCACACAGGAAATGTACCATCGGCTTGGAAATATTCTTCATGATCATTTATATTAAGATAGACAATTTGTTGTCGAGTAAGTCTGAGTGGCAAATTGAGATCTTTGAAAAAGATGATTCATCCATGGACCGGCTGTAACAATTACTCGATCAAATTCTTCATCAATAATATCGTCCGATGAACATCGAACCAAGATTTTGCCGTTTTCGGATGATGGAATAATTTCAATAACTGGTGTTCGTTCATGAACAATAGCTCCATGTGCTTTGGCCAACCGAATATTCGCTTGAACACATAGAGTTGCACGCAAGAAGCCACTGTCTTGTTGATACAATGCAACTTCGTCGGGCTGTAATTTAAATGCAGGATATTTAAGTTTGATTTCCTCGGCATTGAGTTGGTTGTACGGCGATTGGGCATCGATTAAAGAACGTTCTGTAGCTGCACACACTAAATAAAATGTGTCGCATGTGTCGTGATTTGCGACACATTGTACGACACATTGCAGTACGACACAAGGAGCTCACTGCGACACATTTTCTATTGGTTCTTTTCGAAAAGCATAATTATTTCAATTTTTTTCTGTTCAATATAATTCCATTGAATTATTTCTATGGTGAAAACTCTAGCAGGTTAGATCCTGAGATCTGTCCTGCTTCGAGTTGATCTGATTTGCATCAGACGACTCCAATGTAGTCCTTTCTCGACAAAGAGTATCGAGAAATAATTTAGAAAAAAAAGAATATTTTGAAAATTTATCTTTCTTACGTTCAACCACGTTGTTTATATATCGTCATGTCTGCATAATAAAATGGTGAACGACTAGTTAGCAGACAGAACGCGAAAAATTCGTATGCGACACATTCTGTGCACGACACATTTTTCTGCTGGAGTGCACGACACAATAATTCACGACACATAAACACGACGCATTTTAATTTAGTGTGCAATATCAGGATTATCTTTATGGCCAAAGTAGAGACCACCACAACGGACAAACAATTGTTCTTGTGCATCCTTCTCTAATTCATTCCATAGTCGATATGCATCGGCTACTAGTTGCGTATAGAAAAGATCAGGATACGTATATCGAATCAGTCTTGATTCACCATGAGAACTGCCATGTGCATGCCCAATATGAAATTGTTCATAGCCAACAGCTTGATGACCTGAGCGAGCAAGATGACGAAGTGCTGCACTACCCGGTCCGCCAAGACCGACAACAGCAATTTTCATCTGCAAAAAAGCAAAACTATATTCATTGAAAGATACCATAGGGCAAAAATCATCTAATCGTCTTGCTTAGTTTATCTAGAGCATTACAGGTACTTTGAATGAGACCGGCCATTAAAAGATCTTTATATGTTTGAGATAAACTCGATCGTTTGAAAATATGTTGTATAGCTTGTTCGACTTTTTCTGTTCGCTGTGTATTCACACATGATTTGCGTATTACTTCTTCTGTATCTTGATGTTGTCGTGTTTTTAATGTTGTTGATTCCATTAAACTATATACAGGATGGCCCATAAATAGCACTACGATAAGAAGTTCAAATATCTTCACGACGGTTCAATCAAAGGAGCTGATTTTTTGGTTAGTGGTAGAACTTTATTCAGAATCTTTTTTTCATACGAATAATGTAAGTGAATACTGCCATTAAGTATTATTGTTGACCTCACTAAAGAAATTTTATCTGTTATCAAGTGAGAAAAATGCATATGAAGCGTTTCATAATAATTTTAGTTGTCACCTAAGAAGACAACAAGAAAAGATCAAAACAAAACATTATGAATGATACAACATTGATGCAAATAGACTAAGGTTTAAGAAGTAGCTAGTTTAAAAATCAACAATTACAATATTTCGAATTTTCAAACATGGAACATTGGTTTTTTCGAGGAAGTTGGTGATTCGCTTCCTAAAGAGCTTTAATTGTTCGTTTTAGTTTTCGGAAACGAATTTTAGCGTTTAAACTAACTACTTCTTAAAGTTTGGTCTATTTGCACCAATGTTGTATCATTCATAAAGTTTTGTTTTGATCTCTTCTTGTTGTCTTCTTAGGTGACAACTAAAATTATTATGAAACGCTTCACATGTATTTTTCTCACTTGATAACAGATAAAATTTCTTTAGTGAGGTCAACAATAATACTTAATAGCAGTATTCACTTACATTGTCCGTATGAAAAAAGATTCTGAATAAAGTTCTACCACTGACCAAAAAATCAGCTCATTTGATTGAACCGGCGTGAAGATATTTGAACTTCTTATCGTAGTGCTATTTATGGGCTACCCTGTACTGTATGATTAGCAACTGTGTACGCGAATCTCAAGAAATTGAGCGTAGGAACTCTGCATCAGGCTATGGAAAATAGGTGACTACTTCGGAAGGGAAAATATCTGGCTTCTGAAACTGTCTCTGGCAGCGCTCAATGCCGGTATTGGTAGCCGCAAGATGGAGCCTTCTCCCAAAGTTTGTTGAAGGGGTACACTATTGATATTAATTGTCTTCATTTAGAGATGAGTTTTGCTTCATCATTTTTGAGACGAGAAATTCTTATCATTTGTTGATATCATCTTGAGAGCATGCCTTGCTGGCTACTTCTCATTTGCGATCATAAGTCAAATAAAATTTTAAGATACTATGAAGGTTTTAAATTTCAGTAAACAATAAAATTTAAATTAATTTAATTTTCAACTTATTGTTGATGAATACTTCTATTTCAAAATTTTCACTTTCAACTTGAAATCGCATCGAATTTAGCAAGATATTAGAGTTCGTTCGTCTTTTCAATACAATTTCTATCTATAAATTTAGGAAGATGTAGAGTTTGCCACTGCTTTCAATACAATTTCTATATTTTAGTTTAGGAAGATGTAGAGTTCGCTGTTGTTTTCTATGCAATTTAACATTTAGTTTAGGAAGTTGTAGAGTCCTCTAAAAAATCTAGCATAAATCTAACTGGATGTAAAAAAGATTTAGAAGTGTCGCGTGTAGTCTGTTTGAAGGTAAGCGAATGTGGTCTGAGAGTGTCACTTCTCATTTTTAAAGAGCAGTGTAAGAACATGGCAGTGAAAGAAAATTTGTTTCACAGTTCAAGGTATTTGATTCAAAAGGTTTTATCAGCTCTGAATTAATTATGAATTTTGCTGCTTCACCAAAAAGAAGATTTTATAAGTGAGGTGTACTATCGAAGAAATTGTTTTAAAAAACGCCAATGAAATCTTTTCGCATTTTAAACGAGGTCACTGAAATAGGTTGATCGCGAGAGAGTTTTTATAAAAATGTTTTTGGAACGTAGCCAGATCATAGATTTAGTTTAAGTTCTATGAATCTTAATCTTAATCAGGAACACCTTTTGGAAGGTGATATGCTTAATTCTCATATTGAAAAACGAACCCTAATATAGCTCGAGCAAGGGGCGAAGAAAAAAGAAAGTTTGGATAAAGATCGAAGGGAGCTTTGAATTGTTTCTCTCATGTTTCACAAGCATGATTCAATATCCATTTAAAGTGTGACCTCGATGGACGCTTGTTTGAAGAGAACTCTAATACCAATACCTAAATGTTGTCCCGTTTACATTGTTTCCACAGTTTTGTTGTTGAATAATTATATATTTGGGTTCCAATTAGTTTCTTTTCAGTGGACTGTTTATCTTATGTTGGTATGGAAACTACATAGAGTTCCCATACAAAAACAGGCTTATGACGTTCATATCGGTAATTCGGTCTAATGAACTCTAAATATGAGACTCAATTTAGAAAAAGAAGAAGAGCACTACGTAGTTTAGCACACTCTACTAATCAGAGCTGAATACATCGAAACCCTGCAGGCATATATCAAGCGAACTCTACATCTTCCTAAACCAGAATATAGAAATTACATAGACAACAAGAGCGAACTCTACATCTTTCTACACTAAATATAAAATTGTATTGAAAGCACTAGCGAACTCTACATCTTCCTAAATTTATAGATAGAAATTGTATTGAAAGCACTAACGAGCTCTACATCTTCCCAAAAAAAGTATTGAAATAACATAGAAAACAAGAGCGAACTCTACAAATTTCAATTCTTCAAACAAAATGGCTGTTAAAATTCGTTTTAGTAAAAAATATTAAATAATAAAAGCAACAATTTTAATTTTCGGAGTTTTTTTGAAGAAAATGAGTTTTAACGAATTAAAAATCGAAAATTTGACACTTTCAATCGCTTTTAATGTGAAAAATTCAAATTAATTGAAAAATGAAATATAATTAAATTTAATAAACTTTGAATTTTCGACTGTATGTTTGCAAATAAGAGGATACCGCCTTGGGCTTGCTCGTAACTTTTATTGCGTGTGGCTGTGGGTGTGGATGTCAGTTAAATCATGGCTCACACGCTCACCCACACCCACACACCCACCCACACCCCATACCAACACCCTCACCCCACCCCACACACACACCCACACCCTAGCCCACACCCACCCACCCCAAAAGCTTTCAGCATTGCATGTCTGATCTTCAGTTAAAAAAAGATTTGACAAAAGAAGATATTTATGTAGATTATAATAACGTTTAAATTCTAATGAATCATTACAACTCACATTTACACCTAAGTAAATATCTGTATGTTCTCATCGCGACTATACGAAATACAAAGGAAGTAAAAAACAGAGGAAGAATATATCAAAAACGCAATATATGCGATGCTAAGCCGATGGAAGAGAAAGAAAGCTGTCTAAATAACGAAAAAAATCATGCTTTATTGATTCATCTACAGATACATATATTGGAAAAGATTAAGTCATGATGTCAGTTATAAATACGGAGTAAAATCGATTGCAAGCATACAAAACAAAATCTGTACACTCTAGTATTACCTAGCATGTAAGTATATTTAGTTTCTAATATTATTAGACTAGCAACAAAATTAAAGCTAAAAATACAAAATAGCAGTTCTATGGAATTTGGACAATCAGAATTTCGCCATCTGAATTTCGGCAATAACGAATTTCAGGTAGAATTTCAAAAACTTTCGAACTTGCAGTGGAGTTTTGAGAATGTTATCGAGTTTCCGTAATTGTCGAAATTCTCACGAAATTATGACAATAATAAGTAGTTTTATATATTTTATTGTTCATTTTCCATCAGAATTTTAACAATACTCACAGTTGATGAGAACATACTCAGTCAGCTAGATTTCAATTGATACGAAATCCAATTCTTAAACTACTGTTACAAGGTTACATTCTTCATGTATGCACATTGTTCGTTCCTTTTCTTCTTTATTTCTTTTGTACCTATACCTACATCAGATCATCATTCGATACTCTTGATTTTCTGTCATAACATAAAGACAAGATCATCACCTACTCACAAATTCGCAGTCACATTGTAATCTCGTATATATAAATAGAGGTCTTATTGTGCTTTGGAATTACATTTTAGTTTATCATACTAACCAATCGAAGCAAGTCATCAAAAGCTATCTTAAATGACTCGTGCGTTTCTTCTTATGATGATCTTGGTGATCCTAACCGTTCAGTTGTGTAAGTAAAATGGTCAATAATCTAACTCAAACATATCTCACTTCTATTTTACAGATAATGTCGAAGCCGGCAGTTGTGGCTGTCCTCTAAGTTCCGATCGATGCGAAGTGAACTGTCAAGGAAAGTTTGGTGCTGGTGTTGTTGGCTCGTGTAGAGGATTTCTATTTACGAAATGCAAATGCAAAGTAAATGGCAACTGGGAATCGATTGCTGGTACTTGTAAAAATTAGTTGATGATGACTTATGGTTTAGAGCATCATGAACTATATATTTTTTTTCTTTTTGCATCGCTTCAGTATTTAATAATAAAGATATTTATGCCTTCTTCACAATTCAATCCACTGAGCTTGTATGTCTCTGTTCATTAAGACATAAGAAAAGTGGCATAAGATGAGGTGTGAAATTCGGAAGAAACTAAGTTGATTACGACACATTTCGACGCTGCTAAACGCTCTTCAATTAGTTATTATATTATACATAGGCAAAATATAGCATGAACGATAAAGATTGTGACGTATGTGTATGCCTCTATCTGAATTTTGAGAGTGATCTCAAAAATACGTATTGTTAACTTAGACCGAATAGACAAAAACAGTGTGAATGAGTGGGTTAATAGCAGTTTCACATCCATACTTACACCCTGACTTGATAATATTTTTGTCAGTAAGTTTTCTCTCGAGCATGCCGTTTATCGATGGTAAGATGGAATGAAAATGATCACTTTCGCATTCATCTATGATGAAAACCAAGAAAAATAAAATCTAATGAGAAAAAGGGGTTTTCGGCTTCATGATGAATATAACTCCAGATAGCACAGTTCAATGAGAACAGGTAGAATAACATTGTCTTGTTAGTTGGAGTTTGGGTAACAGTAGTTGCGGGTGGATGATGATTGGGAAAAGTATAAATATTATTATTCAATACGACATCCTCGAACAAAACAATCGACATTCAAGCTACGTCAGTTGAAATTATGCGCTTTGAAATGAAT